CGACTGTGGGAGGAAGCTGGAATACCCAGATCAAACCCACACAGACATGGGGATAAGATGCAAACTCCCAAACCAACAACCTTCTTGCTCTGAAGTTATAGTTCTAATCACCCTACGTCGAGTTGCCTCTGTCATGAGGCAACTCAACAAGCTATCGACCATGAAGAGCTGACTGTATTTACACTGTTATACTTTGTATGGGCATAAAGAAACATCTTAACTTAGGCTGCTAAATTCATATTCTGAAACTCAACATGTTGTACATAGTAGAAAGAAATGATTAAGGGGAATGAAGCCTGACTGTGTTTGATTTAGTCCTCCAATGGATCACATACTGGTAATCCTGTTCTAACATTTATCCAACTGTGTTCACACCGTGAGCAGCTCCACCAAAGCCAGCCATGAGGTTCTTGTTGTGTTCGGCTGAGCTGTAAGAGCTCTTTAGTGGTGGACGCCTGAGTGTGAGTTAATCAGGAACCTTGCCTGAAAAGATATTTGATAATATTTGATCCACCTCACACACACAACAACCTAACTCTGCCCTAAAGAAATATCCAAAGCAGCTCTGGAGGCCCCTCACTCGGTTGCTCCACAGTCTTTCCTGGGGCAACAGCAGCTGATTTTGCCTTAAGAGAAAATATCCATCCACTTACTTGCTAATAAATGCTTTGGATAAAATGATGAAGGTGCTTTCAGTGCTATTTAGTTTTGAAATGCATCATAAAGTGTGTATATCTTATCATCAGCATCCCTCTAAATCTGGTTCATTTTGCCCTCCAGTGGTTGCAGCGTAATTGGTGTAATGGTGGGATATCAGCAGCTGGTGGTCATGCACTCATGCTCAGGGACAATTGTCCTAAGTTAATTGTTTAGTGTGTGGTATACACATCTAGCATACTTGAAATACTCCATCTCTCCTACTTTTCACTAACTTTGTCCAGCAGGTATTTTTCACAATAATGCAGCAGTTGAGAGGTGATAAACTTCTGTCAGATGCACAAAATCTTGATTTTCCTGTTACATCCTATTATACCCCCCTCCCCCCCCC